TTTGCGCTGCAGGTGTACGATTGACAGCAAAGAAGTGCTGCAGCCAAATTGTGGCTGTAAGTGATGCCTACAGTGACAGTTTTTGTTCCGCAGGTGTGTGTTTATCACCAGCGGAGGTCATTTATTTGTGTTTTTGCAGCCGTTTCTGCAAATGTTTGCTGTTACTATCATGCAATGCAATATTTTAATTGCATTCAAGTGAGTGTGTGGACAGTTTTGTCACTATCGTGTTTGGATTTTAAGTTCTAAAGTGTCAAGAATAAAGATCAAAACTGTAACTTTAAAAAACTTTTTCAAATCATTTTCTCCATTTAAATGTAGCATAGTGGAGTGTTATTCAGCAAGGATGCATTAAATTAACCAGAAGTGTCAGTAAAGACATTTATAATGTTACAAAATATTTCTATTTCAGATAAATGCTGTTCTTTTAAAGTTTTTGTTCATCAAAGAATCCTGAAAACATAAAATGTATCACCGTTTCCACAAAAATATTAAGCAGAACAGTTTTCAACACTGATAGCAATCAGAAATGTTTCTTAAGCAGCAAATCAGCATATTAGAATGATTTCTGAAGGATCATGTGACACTGAAGACTGGAGTAATGATGCTGAAAATTCAGCTTTGATCACAGAAATAAATTACATTTTAAAATGTATTCAAATAGAAAACAGTCATTTTAAATTGTAATAATATTTCACTTTTTTTATTGTTTTAACTTGTGTATTTGATCAAATAAATGCAGCCTTTTTGAGCAGAAGAGACTTCTTTCAAAAACATTTTAAAAATGTACCGACGTCAAACTTGAAACCTTTTCAATCACTAGGGAAGTACACATACTGTAAGTGTGCACTAGTAGTATGCAAATTTGCATGCAGCCATATTTTCTGTCTTGATCACAGGTGCTTTAATTGGTTTTCTGATTGACTATCCAAGGTGTTGACCACTCCCAGATCTTCAGTGGTGTCTGGACATGTTATGTGTGCTTGATTATTTGCTGGTGTTGCACAGACTGAGGCCGCTGCTGTATGGAACAGACTGACCTTGAGGAATCTCTGGAGCTGAAGTCAGGGAAACTTTGGAGCAAGATCTCATTCTTTCTCTCTGACTTTTATTTGATCGACCTCCTTAAGAAAACCGTTTCCATGGCAACGGGTTGAGGAGCACAACACAGATAAGATGAACCTTAGAGGATGCAGCCTTTGTCTCTCTCTGCTGAGAGGAGAGTGAATCGGCTGCAGGATTCCCGTCCGCTCAGAGAGAGAGAGTGAGGCCTGTCATCTGAACTTAAACCAGCACATGGTCTAAATTAAAAGCCTTTTCCATAATATCACTGTTTATTCATGATGTTCATGTCACAGTCTGAGAGCAGCACGTCTACATCCTTTCAGTTTCATCCATCCATCCTTCTATTGTTTTCCTTCCTTCCTTCCTTCCTTCTTCCATCCATCTTTTTCTTCCAATCCTTCCATTTATTATTTTCTTCCATTGATCTTTTTCTTTCCTTCCTTCTTTCCATGCATCCATCCATCTGTTTGTAATTTCCTTACATCCAGCCATCTTTCCATTTGTTTTTTTCCTTCCTTCCTTCCTCCCATCCATCCTTTTATTGTTTTTCTTTCCATCATCCATCCATCCATCCTTTTATTGTTTTTCTTTCTTTCCATCATCCATTTATTTTTCTTAGCTTTCTCCCATCCATCTATCCATCCATCCACCCATTGTTATTCTTTCTATCAATCCATCCAACCATCCATTTATTACTTTTCTTACCTTCCTCCCATCTATCCATCCATCCATCCATTTATTGTTTTTCTTTTCATCCATCCATCCACCCATTGTTATTCTTTCTATCCATCCCATCCCATCTATCCATCCATTTATTGTTTTCTTTCCATCTATCCATCCATTTATTACTTTTCTTACCTTCCTCTCATCCATTTATCCGTCCATCCATCCATCCATTTATTGTTTTCCTTTTCATCCATCCATCCGTTTTTCTTACCATCCATCCATTTTGCTTTCATTCTCCATTTATTTTTATTTTCCTTCCATCAATTCATTGCTCTTTTTTTGCTTCCAACCATTTTTCTTTCTTTTTTGTTTCCATGAATTTCTCGTTCTTTATTCCTTTCATCCATTTTCCTTTATTCTTCCATCCATCTTTTGTCCATCCATCCATCCGTCCTTTTTTTCTTTGATTCTTTTTCTTTTCTGTCCATCTATTCATTGTTTATTTTCTACTTTTTCCCCTTCCAGTCTGAGTGAGATCGGACAGGCTGTACTGTATGCAGTGTAGAGGTTTTTTCTCTGGCGTCAGGTCGTCTTCAGTTCATCCTGTCTCTTTGACACATTTCTGAAGTGCAGATTGGGTCTCAGATGTGATCAGGTGATTGAAGGACTCCACTGCAGAGCCACTAAATGATGTATAATTCCTGCACGAGCAATACACAGCAGGAGTCTGTTATCTTCTAGTAAAAACAGGATCCCTTCATCAGGAGTAATGGCACGCTTACACATGCTGAATGAGTGAGTTATTATTCCTCCCTTCAGATCGCACAGCAGGACACGATATCTGCATGTCACTCATTTCGGATGTGAACGGCTGCTGGTTTGGACTCATTTGAAGCCAGTGTTTACTGGCACTTTCATTCAGATTTGTCTGCGTGTGTAGAAGAAACCTTTCTGGCTCTGAATTACTGAGGCTTTTTCTGCCAGCACTTTCATTCATGAATTTCATCTGTCCATCACCCAAATCACTTGTGTAATCCTCAATTACTCTTTAAATAATAATATAATAAGAACTGACCTGTTGTTTGTCCTTCATGTCATTTTATCTTCTCTGTTTTTAGGTATCAGTATAATAATAGTTTAATAACAACAGTCTTTCTTCAGCACTTTATACCATAGTTTTTGATTATGAAGTTAATAGTTAGGTGAGTAAATGATATGCTGGACTAAACCGGGGTTAACTTGACCTCACGGCATTGATATTCTGTTGTGTGTATGTGATGCCGGTGTTGTCTGTCATTATGAGTCCTGTTCAAACACAAAGGCTCAGATAAGATGTTCAGTAAACATAAATATTTGCTATTGAACTGCATTAGCAGAACCGCGAGGCGCTAATCTCTCACTCCAGGCTAACTGTGTTTACTGTGTCTTTACACAACAAGGAAAATAAACTCTGAAAAACTGTAGACCCCAGTTTTACCTCTTCAGTCTTAGCCTCTCCAGTGTTTTCTTCATAAGGTGAGACGGAGAGAGAGAAAGAGGGGAGTTTGTCTTGAACATGCGCTGTGTTGTGTTTCTGCTGAGTTATGTAGGCCAGACCTAATTACAGCTGCAGGAAAGACTTGCAAATGAAAATCAAGCCCGAACGCAAGGAAACGCGGAATAGCCCCGGTCACACTTTCAAAGTGCAAAGGCTTTGCGTGCGGCTGGTTGCTATTCGCAGTGTTTGCTCATGTGGAATCTGCTGGAAATTTTCTTCCTGCTTTCAGATGGCTGCAAATTAACGAAGATGAATGAAGTGGCTTTTAAACTAATAGGACTCCTATGCTTTGTCGTATTTAATTATTATTTTTTTCTTCCTCAAGTCCACTCATAATATGTTAGTCGAGGTTTCTTCCATCAAAAACTTAATTTTCAATTTTCAACCCTCTTTCTGACCCTTTTTATTGAACTGTTTTTGGAAAAGGCTATTTTTGAAAGACAAGATAGAGAGAGAAAATGGATAATGCTTGAAGACATTTAAGGTGTTTTGCTGTAAGAGCAATAAAAATCATAAAGGCTGCATACTTTAAATTGTACTTTACAAATGTTCTTTATAATTTGTTTTTATATTATATTTTATATATTTTTTATAATTGTATTTGTTTTTACACATTGCAATGTGGTATTAAGAAATTGCTGGTTATTAATGTGCTTAACTTGTGAATTGTAATATTATACATACAGACATACATGCATACATATATATATATATATATATATATATATA